TGATTTGGTTATCGACGATGTGTCCTTTTATGTTTTGACGATGTATTGGGTTTGAATGTTAATTTGGCTAAATCAGAGTTGATTCTTGTTGGAGAAGTTCCAGATATTGGTGGGTCGGTCTCCATTCTTGGGCTTAGAGTGGGTGCTCTTCAAGACACATATGTTCAGGATGGGGTTATGGAGAGGTTCCAAGGGATGTTGGCAGGATGGAATAAGCAGTACCCATCAAATGGAGGTTGACTTACTGTAATTAAAAACACATTGTGGACCTTATCCACCTAGTTCATGTCCTTGTGCACAATCCCACTTCATTAGCTAGGAGAGGTTTAAAGTTGTAGAGAGATTTTTTAAGCAAAGGTATAGGGAAGAGTTTAAATATCATCTTGTGGATTTGAATATTGTTTTTACTTCTTTGAGAGAGGGTGGATTGGGAATTAGGAGGTTGGGAGTTTTTAATGAATCTCTTTTGGGCAAGTGGCTTTAGAAAACATGAGGGATAAATAGTGGAGGAGAGTGGTGATGGCCAAATATTGCGGTTCATGCGGTGACTGGACCTCTTTGGAGGTGACTATATCATATGGGTGGGGGCTTTGGAAAGGTATTCATCAAGTTTGGAATGATTTTATGGGATCCACTCATTTCAATTTTCAAGGTGAGAAGGGGAGACAGTGAAGTTTTGGCAGCATAGGTGGTGTGGAGAGGGCCTGGCCTTCTATTTTTCACCTTGTGTAAGATTTAGTATGAATTGATTGACCAATCTACTCAACTTGTTTTACGGGCTGAAGGGTATTGGAGAGAGCCAAGATTCTGTGTTGGTCAGTATATCTAAGAAAGGAAGGTTTGAGATGAATTCTTTCTATAAGGCTTTGATGAGAGATAGGAGGATGACTTTCCCTCAGACAGCAATTTCGACTGGCATTCTATGCATATGCATCAATTATGACTGTAGCAGGCAAAGGCAAGAATTTCGTAGAACAAATGGCAAGTGCTTGGTTTGGGGGAAAAGCTTCATCAAAGGTATTTGCTTGCATGGTTACAAAAGGCTTTAGTTTGCCTTTAATATCCAATCTTATTTCTTCCTTTTATTGGTTGACCTCCAAACTTGTCTAACTGGCTTTTTTGTAGCTGCTAAATTTTCCTTTGAAGGTTAAGAATTAATCCGGTTTGCTGTTTATACAGATTGCGGCCTCATACACGGCTAAGGGTGAGACAAAAACCAGTCTTCTCCTGACCTCAGGATGGTGAGCTTTCATGTTTATATTGCAGTATGGAAACTGTACCTCAGATTGTTACTAAATTAGTTGCTTTCATGTTTATATTGCAGTATGGAAACTATATCATTTGCATGTAACTCACTCTGACTTATCTCATTATTAACAATAAATTTTTTGTCAATATTATTCAACGTTTGGTTTCATGATATAAAAAAAAATTAAATTAAATTAAAAACATTATGAGTCCAACTATTATTATTTTTTGCTTTTAAATAATTAACATTTCCCTAAGAATAAAATCATCTTCTTTTTTTTTTCCATTTATTTAAAAATAATGTTATATGCACTAATTGATATACCAATTAGTGTAATAACCGATGATATGATATAATTTTAGAGATTTTTGATATTTGTAATTTGTATAATGGGTAGAGTCAATTTTAATAGCATAAGGTATGTTAGTACACTAATTGAAATACCAATTGATGCATGTAGGACCACCTTTTATTTAAATATGAAATCATAATCTGAAATGACATTAATTTATTTCAATTAAGCTCAGGATTACACAACTCCTCCTTTATCTGAACATGAGTAGATCATTCTAGAATCCAGATTGTCTGTCTACATTCGTCAGTCTCTTCTCTCGGTTGGTTTTTGGATCTTGCTCTACACCACCGCCCATCCCAATGTCGGCCGCTTCCAAACCTCCGCCGCCTACGGTTGCTGTAACTGATATCTCCCTCTAGGGTACTTTTTCTCTCTCATCCCTGTTTTTTATTTTTATTTCGTGGCATTCTATATCTTTGTTGTTTCTAATTAGGGTTCATGACGATGATGATGCTGCTTTGAGAAAATAGGTTTCTTGATATTTTGTATTCTAAAATTTTGTCATTGGGTGTTGTTTGATTTTAGTTAGACTTAAACCAAATCAAATCAACCCAACCTGCCAATCCGTTAATTCGAAAATTCTAGAATACTAGCTGATTTTGGTGGCTGCTAGAAAATTTTCAACTCTGCCAATTTTTTCCCTCAACCCTACCTCTGTCCACACTCTTACTTGTAAGTTGCAGCAAAATTTTGATTGTGTTTTTTTAATAATGTGTATTTGAATTAAAATAAAAATAAGAGGGGAAAAGCTTCTTGTTGTTGCACATGATTAGGTTGATATTAAAGACCAAACATATGGAATAATGAATTATGAAATAGTTCAAGTGTGAAGAACAATTAAATTTAACTTGTATGAATCAAACAAGGGAGATTGGGAAGCTGTTTTAGGTTTAGGTGTTGATGCAAAGCATTCCAAGTCAAAGGAGGGGGGAGTTTGGGGGAAGGAGAGGGAACTAAACAGGTTCAAATGCACAATCAGTATGAACGCGGGAAAAGTGAGTGAGGGTTTAGCAGGGCATTGTGATAGGATGTGGATGTGTGTGAGAGATGAGAACACTTGACTTATGGTGGTTGATTCTTATTAACTATGTACAACTGTTGTTTTACGCCGCCATTGCTTTGCTTTGCTATTCATTTCTTTTGCATCCTTTACACCACCAATATACCAATATGCAAGCCCTAAATTTTGTTTTTAATTAATCTTATCAACAGGGAATATGTCTGCTTGTGAGAATGTTGTTGGTGGGAAGCTGATGCTGAAAGGAAAGGCCCTGGATGTTGTCAAGGCTGGAGGGGTGAAGAAGAAAAAGAAACAGAAGAAGCATTACGATGAAATTTCTCAAGTCAATGAAAATGAGCTTTCAGCAGGTAGGTTGGTTGTTTCTAGGAAAGTACGTACCTTGCGTAGTTGAGTGTTCATTGTTTATACTTGCATGGATACCTACATATATATCACATACATGGAATGGATTCTGATTGCATTGCCCATCCTTCCATTTCCTATTTTGATAAAGTGGTTTTTTACTCGCTCTCATCCCATTTTGGTTGGAAGTAAGTCATCTTAGTTTGCTAACCTGTTGTGTAGGTTTTAACTGGTTGTTTCAAATTTGGTAGGTCATAAAAACATTTAACTTCTTGTGGGAATTAACATCATTCTGCAAGGATCTGGATATTTAAATTTATTCATTTAATTGTACTCGTTTGTATCGAATGAAATCAATTGTTCAGCTTCGGATGCAAGCTATACTAAGACAGTTTTGTCAAATAAATATAGAGGAGTCCATGAGTCTTTGTTTAATCTTCATGCTATACTTTCTGATCCATTTTGGTAAATTATGCGCACCAAGTAAAAATGTAAAATTCCCCGAATCAAGGTAAAATTTCGTAGGACAATTTTATTGAATTAAATAACACACTTTGAATTTACAATTGCAAAAAAATGGTTTCTTTGTTTTCTATCTGTGGACTTTCTTAAAACCGTTCATCCCAAATTTCCTATGGGATGATGATGTGAACAGTTTAACTAGCCAATTCTACCTGGCTGTCAAACTGTGTTGAGGGTGGAAAGCAGTAGATGTGTGACGAAGCAAATTAGCCTTTGTGCTGTGCATTGGGGAAATGTAGAGTGGCAGACCTTTTTTCTTGCGCCTATTCTATTTCAAATAGACCTTGATTATTTTAGTACCCTTTTGACACGTTTAATTTCCGGATAAGATATGATTATCTTTAGAATACGTGGTGTGATAATGGACCACACAGAATAAGGGAGGATTGTGAAAGATAATGTATATTGTTTTATTTTATGTTTGAGAGGGATGGAATTGGATAACATTATGCCTTATTTTTTTCTTTACATTTTTTGTGTTATCCTTCTCTGTCCTATCTTCTCGTAGAATCGAGTTATCTCAATGTAATGGGATGAAGTGTCCAATGACACCCTATTCCATTGTCAAATTGTGTTACCAAATGTGAGATAAACTAGGTACCATGGATAACTAATCCCAATCCAAACGTGTCCTTTAATGTTACTGTCATACATGGTGCAGGAGGAAATACAGGAATGGCAACAGATCTGAACCAGGATGATGTAAATGATGCCAACAAATCTGCTGGGGAAGGAAATTCTGCTTCTTATGATGAGCATCTGACGCCAGCAGAGAGGTGCTACATGGAGCAAAAGGAACAAATCGATGTGCATAGGCTGGCCAAGATATCTAATAAATCACATCGTGACCGGATTCAGGATTTCAACTGGTATCTTGCAAACATGAGTGAGCATTATGATATTCCTAAAGTTGGCCCTGGCTGATTCAACTTTATTGTTACAAGTCTGAAGGACAGAAGATGCCACCTTTTCACTTGTAATTTGACCAGACTGATTTGGCTTCTATCAGCATCTTCACATCCTTCTGATGGGTGGCTTGTTCTTTATTTTGTTGATGTTCTATCTTTGTTTGCTTGTTTTTGAATCATTTTAAACCTTTTTTTAAAGAGTACTTGCACTAGATATGGTACTTTCTTAAGCTTGGGTAATGTTCTTGTTTTTTCTCTACCGCTGTGTTTGGTTTTTTCTGTTTGATTTATTATATGTGTGTGTGTATATAAATTCATTACAAATAAAATCATCATTTAGATAAGACATGATTATCGTATTTCACTTCATTCCACATTAGTGAATCAAACACTGAATTCTTTGGGTTGAACGCACGGTCAAACACGACCCATGTACACAGCATGAACATAAATAGAAAAACTTAAAATGAAAAATTATTTTAACTTCATTCTCCAAATTTGTTGCACCGAGTGCAAATGAGCAAACCATACAAAAGAATTCAGATACTATACTAAACTCACGACCCATGTACACAGCATGAACATAAATAGAAAATCTTAAAATGAAAAATTATTTTAACTTCATTCTCCAAATTTGTTGCACCGAGTGCAAATGAGCAAACCATACACAAGAATTCAGATACTAAACTTACTAAACTCCTACATAATTTATTGGATCAAAGTGTCAACAAAAAATCACAAGCAAACAACGAGTCTTGTTTATTTTTGACAAACCTAAGGGGGGAACAACTGATAAACAAAATAAATATGACTTGAGCAAACCATATAAAACAAGGGCCAAAATGCTATAAAATTAGCATCAAACTACCAAATCTCATTTGTTTCTCTCGCATAACGCCACAATGCAACAACCTGGGCAAAGCTTCCACTTCCCCCCAGTATCAAAATTCCCACTGGGTGAATGAATCTTTGGTTACTTTTGCATTCAAAAGTTGATCATCGAGTTTCATCTTCAAGATTGCGGAAACCTGCAGTCAGATCCTCATAAAGTTTCTTGAATTTTCCCACGAGAGCTTCCTCCCCTTCAGCTGGATCCTCAAATTTTTGAGACCTGCAACATTGTACAGATTAGCAGAGAAAAACTTGCAGCTTTATACCAAACAAACAACAAAAGAAGAAAATGAACAAAGGCTATAGGGCAAGTGGGGGAGAAAGAGAGATTCATTCAATAGATGTTTCGTATCACTTACACCAAGCGGTAGAATAGATCTCCTAACCGATGCTTGATAAGGCTGTAGGTTATCTTCTGGCCATCCATACCAGCTCCTCGCTCCACCCCCTGCACATTAATGATATCCCTGGTTAAAGAGAATCCAGAACTCACTTCCAATTCTACATCTATATTTCCAATTAATGCCTCAGAGATGGGAAAATAAATGCCAAGTATTGATTTTGATCATCCAAGAAATAGCTCACAATGTTGTATTTTCTATCTAATACTTTAGCTCTTGATTAAGCAATTAGGGAAAAAAATAATAATGAATGAGGGATAGAGAAGTTCTTAATAAACAGTGAAGTCCATAAATCAGTAGTCTCATCATCCTCACAACTGATCTCACAGATCTCAAAACGGACAAGAAGAAAACAGGGAATGATTTACCTGATTGGCCAAATTATAGAAATGGATAATGTTGCGCATCATCCAAACAGACTTGTAAAAAGGGCAGAATTTGTCGTACCTGTTGCCACACACAACACACAGATATGAAAGATTAAAAGCCAATATGGAGAGTTGAATTAGTGGAGATTAGTTTGTAGAGAGTATAATTAGTAATGCAGGCGCTTACGGTGTGAATGCATTCTGAGCGAGATAATCCTCCCTCAAAAGCTTTGCAGTCTCTAGGGTAATTTTATCTGATTCAGCTAAAGCATCCTTTCCAACCAGCTGCATTAAGCACAAGAGCAGTGTTACTTCTCTGACAGGTAGATAATAGGAACAATCTAGATATGCATTGCGTAACTTCCCACCAAAAGAGATGAGGGAAGCACATTTCTTAATGTAAAAGAAAGAAAAGAAAAAGAAAAAGAAGGAAAGGAAGAAAAAAAGAAAGAAAGAAAGAAAGAAAGAAAGCAGTGGCTTTGAGACATCAATGCACTTTCATAGCAAATGTAGTTTCATAATAGGCATGGCAAATCAAAGACAAACTGTGGCTTAAACCACCATTCTCCTCCATTCATCGTGCCCCTAAACAGAAGCATGGTTTGGTTATCTCATCAGGTGTCCCAAAGAAATAGATCGCAGAAATTAATAAAATAACATACTTGAACAATTTCGTTAAGGTCATCTTCTCTCTGCAGCACTTCACGAGCTTTTGTCCTGATGTCAATAAAATCTGAATCGAATTGATCATAGAAGGATTCTAATGCCTGGAAACATAAGAAAAAATGTATTCAATATGTGGGTTGCTAAATCACTTGGATGAAAAGGCTAAATAATGGACATGTACAAACATAAATTCTGAATTTATGACACTTCAAGAACGTTTCGAGAACGCACCGATGAATACTTTGAATAGGAAATTAGCCAATTTACAGCAGGGAAGTGTTTTCTTTGGGCCAGTTTCTTGTCCAGACCCCAGAAGACCTGCAAAAACAAGCGCACAGCTAGTTTAACACAATAGTTAAGGAAAAGTAGATGAATTTGACTTGCAGGCCATGTTTTTCCAGATGATTAATTGAACCAACAACATGATTCAACCACTAGGTGTTGCATATAAAATCTGTAAAATCTCATTTCACCTGAACAATGCTGAGGGTTGCAGATGTAACAGGATCAGAAAAATCTCCTCCTGGAGGAGAAACAGCACCAACAATGGTGACACTACCAGTACGTTCTGGCCCACCGAGACATTTCACTTTCCCAGCACGTTCATAGAATGAAGCCAAACGTGCTGCCAGATAAGCGGGATATCCACTATCTGCGGGCATCTCTGCCTGAAAAAGAAAACACGGCACATGACATTTGCTGAAAATTTGTGTTAATGTATATAATAAGATAGTGGCATGTATAGAATATGATAGTGGTGTTGGTGGTAGATAGTGGCATGTATAGAATATGATAGTGGTGTTGGTGGTAGATAGTGGCATGTATATAATATGATAGTGGTAGATAGTGGTAATATATAATATGTAAGTGGTATATAATGGGTTATAATGATGTTTGTAATATCTCCTATATAAGGAGTGTCATTTGGTCTTGTAAGATAAGAAGTTTTGAATATAACAGAAATATATTCCTTCTTCCTCATATTTTCGGAGTTCTTCTTCCTCATATTTTCTAAGTTGGTATCAGAGTAACAAAAAACACAGCAGCCCTAAAACCGTCATAGCCATGTCGAAAGTCACGTCCGAAACCACTTCAACCCCTTCCGCTGCCATTCCGGTGAAAACGACCAACTCTCACTCTGTCCAAATCACCACCATCCGCCTAAATGGTGATAATTTTCTCCGCTGGTCACAATCTGTCCGGATGTATATCCGTGGGCAAGGAAAGATCGGTTACATCACTGGTGACAAGAAGGCTCCTGCGGTTAATGATCCGCTGTTCGACAATTGGGACGCTGAAAACTCCATGGTTATGACATGGTTGGTCAATTCCACGGAGGAGGATATAAGCTCTAATTACATGTGCTATACTACTGCACAAGAATTGTGGGATAATGTTAGTCAGATGTATTCCGACCTAGGAAATCAATCTCAAGTTTTCGAATTAACTTTGAAGTTGGGAGAGATTCATCAAGGAGATGATTCCGTCACCAAATATTTCAATTCGTTGAAAAGGTTGTGGCAGGATCTTGACATCTTCAACACATACGAATGGAAATCGGTTGACGACTGCAACCACCACAAGAAAACTGTGGAAGACAGCCGTATTTACAAGTTTCTTGCCGGCCTCAACATTGAGTTCGATGAAGTGCGAGGAAGAATTATTGGCAGACCTCCTCTCCCATCCATTGGCGAAGTATTTGCCGAAGTCAGAAGGGAAGAGAGCCGAAGGAGCGTCATGCTTAAGAAAAAAGGTAATGGTGAATCAATTGAAATTTCTGCTTTAATTAGCGATGCTGCGGCCAACAAGGCTGCAAATTACCAGCGCAGGTTTGATGATAAGCCACGGGTCTGGTGTGATTTTTGCAACAAGCCTCGCCATACACGCGAAACGTGTTGGAAGATCCATGGCAAACCTGTCAACTGGAAAAGCAGCAAACAAGGAGAGAAGAATCGTGGCTTTCCTACCGCTAATGAAGCCGATTCAAGTCCCTTCAACAAAGAGCAGATTGATCAACTCTTAAAGCTGATAAAATCCAACTCCTCAACCGGTACTCCTAGTGTTTTGTTGGCACAAACAGGTAGAAATCCTAAAGCCTTCTCTTGCCTAAACTTCTCTCCGTGGATCATAGATTCCGGTGCCTCCGATCACATGACTAGTTTTTCCCATTTATTTAGTACCTATTTCCCTTGTTCTGGTCATGACAAAATAAGAATAGCCGATGGTAGTTTTTCACCTATTGCAAGAAAAGGATTTATTAAACTAACTGAGAAAATTAATCTCAATACTGTTCTTCACGTCCCCAACTTAGCCTGTAACCTTTTGTCTGTCAGTAAACTATCTAAGGATTAAAAAGAAGAGTCAGCATTTTTCCTTTCA